TCATTAAAGGGAAAACCCCTCTCATCAAATGCGTGCATGATAGCTTCAGAATATACAATTTGTTGATTTGCTAAATGTCGCCGAATTAGGGGACATGCGAATCGTTGTTCTAGCATGCAAGCTTGCATCATTTGGTGACTATGTGCAAGGGTTTTGCACACATTGACAAAATTCCCAGTTCTCCGGACTACATTTTTAAAATAGGAGTGCTTTCCCTCAAACCTCAAAGTCCAGCATCGAATTAAGGGGCCAAAAAGTGAGATCAATTCCGGATAATGCATCAAATAATGGTGCTTAGGTCGCACTGTATGACCAGGAAATAACTGTTTACGGGATGCAACATATAGCGGCAATAGCCATTGAAGTGCACTGATAATTGCATTTGAGGCCTTTGGTGCACAAATCAACTCAACAATATATCTAAGATTGATGATCATTTGCCAAATTGGATCATCAAAGTCTTGGACCTTGTCAACCACCCAAAATGGGAAAAGCCTTAAAAACGCTCGATTTTGTGAAGCATTTCCAGTCAGTTTTTCCAAATTTGGTTTCAATATTTGTGGCTTGGAGGTACTGTCTGACTTGTTATAATGAAATGTCGAAATGCGCATATTCAAGTAGTCCAAAGTAAACCAGCCTTTGGAAATAAGACACTGTATGAATATTGCCATGTCAAATTGAGCGACCCCTTCAAATATATCATGGGCTAAGCAGGGTGGTAAGGATGGCTGACAAACATGAAAATAATTCAATTGATTAAATATGCAATCATATTTTATTCCAGTGATATTCCCAGATACTTGTAGCAGCATTTGATTAACGCTCTGGTCATACGATTCCTTTGTACGTAATGTCTCGATGACAATTGAGTTTTCTGAAAAATCACTTCTTTTAACGGAGCAATATCTACAAAAATATTCTGAAGTGCCAAAATTTGTAACAAATCCTCCTATCCAATGACTACCGAGATTATCACCTAATATGCAAGAAATACTCCCTCGAACTTTTTCAGAAAACCCCAAGTCAATTCCTTCATGTTCAATAATTTTCAAATCTGCCAATAGAGGACTGAAAATGTCTTTAATACATTCATTGCTGACATAATGTTCTTTTACAAGCATCACAAGCTGGATAGGAGAAACTTTTGACCGACAATAGGGGTGAATATTACCCAAGGTGAAGTATGTTGCGAGAATCTTATGTTTTTTCTTCGCGGATCCTAAAGGATTAACTATTTCGAACGCGTCTTGATAGAGAATAATTTGTAGAGGCCTTAGAACAGCTTCTTGATTGAAGAAAGAATTTTTTTTGAAAGCGCCTCCATCTTTTATGTCCAAAAGGTAGTTTCCTGGATCAATTGGGTTAAGATATTGATAGCGAATGCTTTCATATTTGAAAAGGGCTTTGATTGAATCAACAATAGGTATATACTGATAGCTCTCCTTATTCGGTTCAGGCTGAGATAAAGTTCTAGCTACATTGTAAGACAATGGTTCAACAAAGGATAGTAATTTTTGTATAAGCGTTCTCTGAGATAACTTGATTGCAGAGTTCCATCACCAACAGGAGTATTCATCATTACATGCATTACGGATTCAAGCACTTTTTTGATTACAGATTGATCAATGCCCTCATCTTGCAATACATTTTTGATAGCCAATTCAATGGAAGCATGTGTACAGCTGTTGATTTTCTGCTGTGCCTCAAGAATTTTGCTGATAGTGATACCAGGAATGAGTAGTTTATACTGCAGCATTGCACAGAACACTGTGCAATTTCTTCTGAGAGTCTCCAAAGAATCAACACTTGGATCCATTTGAATCAATGGAGATGGTGATGAGAATACTTGGGGTGTCCGTATGGATCCAAAAATAATGGGACAGTCAATTTGCATAACTTCTTCACGTGGCTGGATAGATAAACGATGGGTTCTTCGAATATGGGAAGAAAACGTGTTCAGATTTCTAAACTTTCTGAAACAAGCAAGGTATGGACAAGAAATTTCTTTACCAGCTCGAATATGATTTTTCAAATGTTTTACTATTAATGTGGAATCTTCAGCATCATAGCCACATATTGAAACATTGCAACACAGGTCTACATCTGCCATATTTTTAGCCTATTATTGCTGTATTAAATCATCAGAGAATAAAAAGTAGTGTAATTGAAAAATTGAAGAGAATGGCTTGAGTGAAAACATGAATAAGACTTTCCCTTTTTAGTAATTAGAGACCATGAAAATATGTTTGGTTGAAATCCATATGGTACCGCTACCGTAATATACCAGTACGGTACCGTAACTATCGGTATTTACCGGTACTGGTATCTAAGTTCTAACTACGGTATTCGGTACCGTACCGGTCCACAAGTCCAACCATTCACAGAATCCAGGAATCACGTTCCATATTTTCACCAACTTTATAACTGTGTATTTAGAATTTTAGATACGGTACCGTACCAATTTAGTGGAATTGTGAGGTTTTAAATAAAGGCACATCAGTCTCCCAATCAACCTAACCCAGTCTCCGAAACTCAAGCCCTGCAATTACATTCAACTGCGAATTTGACCCTGCTGATATACGGTAGTTAATGATCACCAGCCAAAAAAATGCTTAGCTGTATTGACCAGGGTTAAATTAGGTGAAATTTTACTCAGTGCGTAGACCACCGTACCGGTACCGTACCATACCAAACACAAATAATGCGGAATTACGGTATATCAAATCTCCAGCCATATATCTGTACCGGTATATTACTGTATAAAGTACCACGACGTACAACACACTCACGGCGACAAACACTGACAATAACAGTACCGGTACCATAGTTACCTCCTATCTCATCTTTTGGCGTGGTTTACTGTACATAAACATCTTATTACGCGCTTTGCATATTCAGCTCCAAAGCGGCGCAAAAGACACTGCGACAACTTCCACTTGCAAAAACCAGTTCGAAGGAAAACACGAGGCGGAAATTGCCCGCGCGACACGTAAGAAGCGAATGCGCATGCGCGGCGACCCTATTTACGCACGCGGAGCACCACTGAAAAAAATTACTGTGCAAAAACCAGTAAAACTTTTTACTGTATATCAATCACTGCTCAAATCCCAGTGATTTTACAATTTTTTTGTTACAGTGTAGATAATTCACCTTTTATTTCATTATCCTCTGCCGTGCATTGTATTTGCAAAATTTCTTTCTCAAATTCAAAGAGTACATCTGGATTGCGAAGTTGTTCCTGTAAGTGTGAAGAAACATATTATTTTCGTTGATTGGCTTGCGTTTATGATACATCAGTCAGATAATTATTTACAAGAAGTTTAACTTTTATTGAACAAGACTTTTGACAAAAATTAATTATATATAGAAAAGTATAATATTATTCAATTTAAATAGGGCATTTTATTTACATTCTATAAAGTCTATGGTGTCTTTGACTTGGATGGTGAAATGTGCTATCAACAACAATTTAAATTTTTAAACCCTGATTCTTGTTGCAATATCGTTGTTCCGGGAGAGGTTTCAGAAACCCTTCTTTAGATAAAAAGTTATGCACCAATACTGCTCAGGTCGGCTTCGATTAAAGCGGTTTTTTATTATCAAACAATATCATTCAAACTTTTCTAGCTGCGTTCTTACACATGGAATTAATATAGTCAGCTTTAAAGTGAAGAGCTCAAGAAAATTTGGTAAAACTCTGATAATCTTGTGCTGGACTGATCTCATGAATATACGTCACTATCGTACCGGCGTGAGTTCTCTCTTCTTTATCAACGGCCTTGCTACTTCTTCTTGAGATTTAAATCCGAACTTTGAAAACTCTGGATGTCTTTGAAGACTTTTCTGCAGAGTTGTCTTCCCGGCACAGTGTGCACCGCATAGATAAACCGATATTTTCCTATCCATGAGTCCAATCGACACAACGTGTATTTGATGATTTCTTATGATAGAAATAGCTCTTGAGCATGAATGCTGTGAATGAAAGGGTGGCACAGACGAGCTATATTAGGTAAGACTGTAGTCAAATGAATGGTGCGCTCTTCTTGAGATGTCACTCATTTGTTACGTCATAATATATTTCGTTGTAGCCATATGTCACGAAAAAACAAAAAAGTTTAAATAGAGCCGTAGACATCACTGACTGGCCTAGCGGTTAGGGCAGGGGTGCACAACCTTTTTGCTATTGGCGGCCACATTGGATTTATATGTATTCAATACGGCTTCCAGGGGGATGATGAGAGCCCTATCGGCGCGCTAAAATTTTCTTTTGGGCTTTTATGACGTCATAACCGCGTATTTGACTCATGCGAGGTGCAGTTTGCCCAATTATCAAGTATGTGGGACTACTTGGAAGAATAATATTTGCATTTTAAACGGATTTTTCCTTTCGGTCGACCTATTCTTGAGCAGATATATTGCAGCAAATTGCATAATGGTTGCACAATTTTGAATAAAATCAAAAGTCGGGGAGGGGGAGGGGTGAGGGGCGTTTGCCCAGATTGTGACGCATCGTGTCGTCTGAATTTTTTGCATTGCTTCTCTTTTGCTTCAATATACGCCTGCATATGCGCCAAATACTATATTTAAAACTTCATTTTATTTTATAGGATTTTGTATGTGAACGACCGCATTATTTTTTAACGACGGCCGCATGCGGCCGTAAGGACGCAGGCTGTGCACCGTTGGGTTAAGGCGTTGAACCTAATCGTGTTGGCATTGTAGATCACATATCTCGGGTCCATTCCCCCATCTCACTCATAATGTGTAATAAATCGAATGGGAGATGCCAAACTAGCCCTTTCACATAACAGTAGTTTCATAAATAAATATCAGGGGCCTTTTTACAGCGCCTTGTAGAGAGCAAAATGCTCGAGAAAGCGTCTTATATAAAAATGCTTATGTTTCTTTACATATATTCAGCACTCGCAGTGAAATACCAATACGTAATGTATTTTTTTTTATAAAACACAATATAACTCGTAGCCTATATGTTTAAATACCTGCCCCAAGCACTTTCACGTTGCTTTTGGAATGAGATGTTCCACTACTCTATCTTTTGCAAGACTCTCCAGATCAGTGATTCCCAAACCGTGGCCCGCGGGCAAATTACGGCCCGCGTTACGATTTAAAACGGCCCGCCGAACTTAAGCGAAGTATTTTGCCACTCCATGTTTTTACTTTTTTGCGTTCTAGATACCACCAATTGTTATGTCATTATCACATACACGTGTATAATCTTAACAATTCAATTAAAACGGTATCTTAATTTTACGTACGGTTATCGGGCCCGCGAATATCCTTCTGCTTCCAATTTCGGCCCCCCGGCAATCAACTTTGGGAACCACTGCTCTAGAATCTAGACAAGCAGATATTAATACTTGAAGCTACTTGTGCGGAATCTTTCCAGACTGGCATTACCTAATTATTTTATTACATTCTTTCATTTAATAAGGGCAACTAATTACTCTAAAAATATGGTAAGTGTCTCAATTTTTCTTAACTTATTCTCTCCCACGTCGTCAACTCACTACCCCTACAAATATCACACATGAAACGCACAAGCGATTTTGGATCCTGCTTAGAAACTAAATTTTTATTCGAGGCGTCGAATTACAATGAACCTTCATTGTTACCGCAGGTACAATTCAGTGCGGATGGTGTGTATATCGGAAATGACGCCACACAACCGGGCTGATATGTTTTCATTAAGCGTTCATGATCTTTTTTAGAACAAGCTTGATTGATTTCATCAATATTTTAAAGCACAGAGTCACGTTGAATAAAAATTGAAAAATTGCACTTGCTTGACTGACAATACACACTTTATATATCTTACCTGAACATGTTTTACTCAGGGGTGGGCATATTACGGACCGCGGGCCGGATCCGATTCACACCGAAGTGTTTCATCCGGCCCTTTTGTGTCTGAGTCAGAGTTATTTTATTTGTCACCTCAAAAAAACAAGCAATCAAGAACAAATATTTGTCTGCTGAAATTGCGACTATAACTTTTATGAATATAAATTTCGGTTGAAAATAACGTCATAGTGACCCCGATTGTTACTTTGTGCTTTTTATTATTATATAAACCTAGCTGTTGTAAATAAACTGTTTTTTACTCATATTGAGTTTTGATCCCCCAGCCCAGTAACCAAGTCTATTATCGGTAACTGGCCCACTAAGAAAATAAATTGCCTATCCCTGAGCTAGTTATATCCGAAGGAAGCTATTCGAATGTCAATTAGCCCATACATGTATCATAAATATATCTAATTCAATCAATATGGCGTATGTGGTGAAGCCTTCAATAAATCCAATAAACTCGAATAATACTTGTCCCTCAAAGCGTGTATCTTTATGGTTGGCTGGGTGAAAGCTGATAAATATGTCCCATAGAAAAACAACACTTGATTATGTAACTATCACTTGGCGGTAGACGAGACTAACTACCCTTCCTTGTACTATGTTTTTGTCCAAGTGATTTGATATATCATATTCCCGACTTATAATCAACAACGGTTTACAGCAGGGACTTTGTATATACAGTTTGCCGTAGCTCGTCAATCATATATTGGTGAAAGTGGAATATAAATATCGGCCTCATTGCCTCATTGCCTAAAAGTACAGCCTTGATATTAGGTTTTCATTTTCTTTGTTGTTGTATCTGCTATCACTTACCTCATTTTACCACAATCCTGAAACAACAAAACTAATAAATATTTTATATAAATCTATAGTGCAGTAGCCAACTTTATTTTTCTTTGCAATCGGAAAAAAACTTAATCCTGATAGCAGAGGAATTCTAAATCAGCCATATCTAACATTTTCCTCAGCACCAAAGTTAAAACTGTCACGTCAACCAAATTTTAAAGTACACAGGCAAAATATTTAATACAAAATTATTGATACACTATCCCAGTAATACTTAAACTTTGTTCGTTCGTGGCCTATTCTGTGGCCCAATAACGTTTTTATGCAAGAGAAAAAGCAAACTATGTCCAGTGGTGGGATTCAGCCGGTTCGCAACGGTTCTATAGGACCGTCTTACGGAATTTTATGAGATCAGCGAACCGGTTAGCATTACTGGTTACTTTCAATGTTCTGTTTGTAAGAGAACCGGTTGAAAAATATGACTTTTGTGATGGAACCGGCTACAAAAAAATTCGAATCCCACCACTGACTATGTCCTCAAAAACAAACACTTTCACTTCAATAATTAGAAAGAAAATCACCAATTAATAGCATAAAAACGGTATCATCATTTATCACCACAATTAAAATTCAACTATTGTGAGACAAATGAAACTGGAATTATCAATATCTCTGGCAATTCCTAATAAGTTGTGGCCTAACTGAAAATATTGCTGTGGCCACCAGTGGTTGAGAACCGATGTACTAGTCCCACAATTTTGATTTTTAACAAACTCAATAAATAAAAACGACTCAAAATAATGCTGCAAGCCTAAAAATTCACATTTGTTTATCGCGTATGCTCTAAAAAGACCTTAAGTCTCAACGCTTTACAGTGAAATAAAACCCTAAACGAAAGTTTCTTTTCGAAACACTTGAATAGTTTTCTTAAGTATCACGAGCTTTTCGTAAATGGGGAACCACCGAAATCGAAAATAGAGGCGAAGAAATTCAATACAATATGACGACTTCGCATTCATTAACCCGTTTACGTCCTCTTGAGGTACGCAATCAAGCGTGTCTGTGCGTATATTTAAGATAATGTAACACCCCGCTTACGTTACATGCGTTATGAGTATGCAAGCAAATGTTTACGTCATTGTTCATAAATAACAAGAGAGCAATACTCAAATATATGGACACGAAAGCCAAAACGAAGTAGTAAGGTTATGGAATATATCACAGTAAATTACAATATTCACTACTGACGCGAAAGAAGAACCGCCACAAGATGTGCAGTTTTTGATGACGAAAATACCAACAAGAACAACATAATAACAAAACTATCCATATGTACACTTCGTGTCCAAAAATTCAGTAGCCAAATGCATTATCGTTGGAACTTAGATAGGACTGGTAATCAAAGTATCGTGTGTTCAATTTCCGGAGGCCGACATCGAATTCTGCAGCATGTGACATTTTTCCTCGTTTAAATCCAGATCTTCAGTTTGGTCCTTCATACCTTTCTCAAGCGATACTTGGTTAGGTATAACTAAAATTTCGATCTCACCAAGCTCGACAAGCTACGGTAAGTTGACACAAAGACCTTGCTGTAAACCGTTTAAAGATTTTTATTCGCGATTGTGATATAACGAATATAAATAAATAAATGTTGTGTTTCTGTTCGACGTATTTGTCTCATTTCACCCAGTCAACCATAGAGACACACTTGGCCCGCTTTGAAGGACAATTATTATTCGAGTTGCCTTTTTATTAAATGCTGTACGACCTACGCCAGGGGTGGGCAACCCCTGGCACGCGTGCCAAACTTGGCACGCGTGCCAAACTTGGCACGCAAGTTCATTTATTTGGCACGGAAGCGAATCATCAGAAACAAGATCACTCTTCTTCAGATAAAAGTTTTCGAGGCTCTGCATTATCTGATGAAACTAGGTGTTCATTTGTTCATTATCGTATGTTACCAATTCATTATTTATTCTGACTTCTTCTTTACTTTCATGACATATGGCAACAATAAAATATATTGGCGTAACGAATGAGCTCTCGAGAAATTTTGTCGAGAATAGCGCAGTATTAATTTGGCTACATTCTTACGTAATCTCTCACTGATATTTTCCCTAAATATGAATCTGCCTGTATATGTTTATTTAATAGGTTTATTATCGTGTACTTTTGCTTTAATAGTAGCAAAGCATTGTATTTAATTTTGGTCGGCACGCGAAAGTATTTGTCGTTAAATTCAGTTGATTTTGGCACGAGAGCCGAAAAAGGTTGCCCACCTCTGACCTGCGCCATATATGTTATACCATATGAATAATTATGATACATGTGTGGGCCAATTAACTTTCAAATTGCCTCATTAGTTGTAGATCAGGGGTGGCAAACACGTCAATCGCCACGTCTCGAGAAGTTGAACGCGTCTGATGATGAGTGAATTTAATAACATACCCCCAAAATTCTGTAGTAGCCTACGTGAAAGGTATTGTCTCACTCCAAGAGTATAATATGATAAATTTTATTCCCAACGGTAGAAATTGCATCAGAATGCCCGATTTTTCTAATTTTAATCGAGGGAAGAATTGGACTTGGAGAAAATTGTGAATTAGGTAAATTACCATCCAATTAAAAATTGAATGGAACATAAAAAATACAATTTTTTGCGGCGAACGTAAGAATGCGCACACAGAGTCGAGCTTATCAGCAGCGGTGGAATTTTTTTATGCGTGTGTGCAGTTATCTGCATATTCAGTACTCGATCGTTTTTGTGTCTGGCCCATTTACCGATCAGTCGATCGCGAGCTCTTTTGAAGATTTTAGTCGATGGCGGTCGAAAGCAGGTTGGCCATCCCTGGTATAGATAGAGCTAGCCATTACATTACTTATAAAGTACATTACAAACATTTTCAGGTCAGATATAAAATGTGTATTGTCAGCTAAGCGTAATTTATAATTTTTATTCTCATTCAAAGACGTGACATTGCATCATAAATTATTGGTGAGCTCAAACAAGCTTGATCAAAAAAGATCATGCACGCTTCATGAAATTATATTGGACCGATTGTATGGCGTCATATCCGATTTAAAGCATTAGCATCAACACTGAATTGTACCTGTGGCATTTCTTGGAAGGTTCATTGTAATAGGGCGAGTAGAAATATTATCCAGACAAGATTTAAAACGGCTTGTAAGTTTCATGTGCGATATTTGAATGTATTTAATTGGAATCGCAGGAAGGAATAAGTTGAGAAATTGGGCGAATTACCATTCTCATCGGCAAACTGCGGCCCGCGGACAAAATGCGGCCCTGCGAATTCATTTTTTGCGGCCCTCGAACGTCCCGACTTTTGATGTGAAAATCTAAACTTTGATTATAAATTTATTATTGTCTCGACACGGGTGTACGTGGTAACAAGTGCCGTTGTGCGACGCTTTTTTTGCAGTAAGTAGCGTCAGTTGTTTGTCGTTTACTCGATGTTGGATGTAATTATAAGTCAAGTTTATTTTGAATTTAAATAATAAAAAAACGTTCGGGAACGGAGGGAAATTTGCGATGAGGGTCGTGCTTGGACGGAAAACGTTTTTTTCTTCTCGCGTATTACAAAACCAGTTTGTAAGTCAGCATCGCGGGTATTAAAGGGATTCAATGTTAAACGTCATTATGAAACGTGTCATTGCAAATACAAAAATTGACCTCGAGACTGCACAGCTGCTCGTCTGTGCGACAGTGCACGTTCGGAAGTACATATCGCTGTGAGCAACTTTATCTAAAAGTTGCCAGAGTGCAATATTTAAAGTTTCATGTGACGATTGTTCGCAGGCGGAAATTAATGAAGCCCGTACGCTACTCTAAATGTCTATATTTGGCCCGCGAGTACCTGAAGTTTGTCGACCATCGGTCTAGAGTCTTGTCACTGTCAGATGTGTGAAGGCGCCTCATTCCAAAAAAAGGAGCGTAAAAGTGATCGAAGCAGGTATCAAAACTACTAAGCTACGAGATACGCGGAAATGTGCTTCATGAAAAAAATACATCAGATTAAAAACTCTAAAGTCAACATGTTTGACCATTTTATTCCAAAACTAAAACTAATTTTTGACCAAAAGTATTTAGCTGATTTATTAAATGAAATTATGTATTTATATCATGATTATCTATTTTGTTTATTCGTTTTGTTTTTGTAGAAGTTCTTTAACAGTTTAATTCTGTTGTTTAAAACATTGCTTATAAGCTATAATGCTGCTCGTTTTCGTTTTTTCAATATTTTGAAACCAAATTAGCAACTTCTTGGTAGTATATATTGCAAAGTGAGCAAGTAGTCTGGCAAAATAAGTGAATGTATGTATAGCTTTAACGTATGCAATTAGTTATGCAGTTAATTGTTTTGGATGCAATCGATGCATGGATGGTGAAAGACGCCGTAGCTGACAATTTGCTACGTTGGCCTACGGCGGCAAAGAGTTCAGAAAACCTCTTGCACATGATCATTCCCAACTTGCATTTGAACTTGCAGGCAATCCGAGGTTCGGTGAAGAACTTATTCCGAACGCTTTTCACGATGCGCTAGTAGTCGAGTCGGGCATTAAATAAATCATCTGAAAAAAAACACACTAGCACCGTTTTGGTATTTGAAAACATTTGTATATTAAGTTCAATAAAATTATTACATACTAGATATTAAATTAATACAATCCGTAACACATACCAAGTGTAAAGAATACACAGGAAGTCGTAACGGTATTTTTGTCGTGTTCGCTGTCACACAAAAATATTTTTATACCGCAGCTTGCAACAGTATTGCATTGACGTGCATAAATATCCGTTTAGTTTACCTTAACCAGTGAAGCATCTTTATAACGCTAACAAAAATATAGGTAGGAAATGTGTTCCCTGTCACCAAAAAATATCTTCAGACTTTCAATGTAAATGTTATATTACATAAACCAGTTACGTTAAGTTGGGTTAACGTCGAACCTAGGACGTGTCGAAGACCGTGAGGAAATCGATGGAGATGTAACCGGTTTGGCAGGATTCGGCCGCATAGTTGTTTATCCGTATAGTGTGAAGACAAAGCGCGGACACCTTTCCTATTACTTTACCTGAGCCGGAGGAACGATTTATCATCAATTCATTCCATACAATTGTCTGTTATTCCGGTGGGGTTCGAAGTTTACTGACAACGTATACTTTCAAATAATTTTTTATATTTCATTTTAAATAATTTAGATATAGTTATGTTTATCACAAGATTATTTTTCTTTGTCGGAATTATTCATGGTTTATCGCAAGCGAAAAAGGCTCCAGGCAAGTATAAATTTTTACCCCATATGACCTAGAAAATTGCGCCTAACTATCTCTTTTAAATAGATATAACGTTAATAATGCAAAAAATATTTTTTAAGGCTTATACATCAGATTGTTTTGTTCTGACGACTTTAGTTGGGCGTTGGGCCAAACAATATTTGTTTTGAAATCACCGCCTGTTTTTTAAATGGTTTGTAGAACAAAAAGCGTAGCTTATTTGGTTATTTAATCGGTAGTATGTATATATAGTGACCGAACGAGTGATATATATACACTTCTTAGAACTCCATTCAGTGCAAACCGGAAATCTAGATAGTGACCCAAATTGCGCCCATTATATGTAGAACACAGTCATGCGTATAGTTGAAATACAGATCAAATTGACTCCGAAATTTTGAATATGCTGCGTCAACAACGTACATCAAAATCACCATATTTAGGCGTCTGTAATCATATATATATAGTTTTCAAATTTGTGAAGATTTTAGTGTTATTTTGTTAAAATTAGTTCCATGTCTTCACCAATACTGTAATCCCGCGTAGTTCTCATTCTATATATTTTGCCAGAATCGGCATATTTTTGTCCTCAAAGAGAGGGAATTACAATAGAATTATCGCCTTGAACAAACATTATTTGTCTACTATCACTATACGTTCATCAACAGACCTGGAACATGTTTTATTCAAGTTTATTCGAACATAGACTCGCGTCATTTGAAAAAAAAAGGCCGCCGTGGAATTAAAAATATCATAAAACGTATAAAGTATTTTGTATTCAGATGGAATTTGTGTCACCAAATTGCTGAAAGGAAAACTCGTATCAGTTGGAGATTGTCAGGTATTAGAGATTATATGTAAAGGTTAAAAATTAATTGAATGAAATTAACTGATTAAAGCGCTAGCTCTATTTTATGTTTCAGGGTAGATATCGCAGAACGGAAAAACCACAAAATGTGGACCATTTGTGAATGAAATCTTAAAATGAATAAGACAGACATTCTATAGGCATAATATATTTTACACAAATTTTCACCATTATTTATTTTTCTAGCATTCATTATTTTTTATTAAGAAAAACGATGGATCTGGTGAGTGACAACTTGGAGCTTTTGATCTTTTAAAATGTTATTTTGACCTTTTGTTATTTGGCTCGATAATGTTAATCTTATCACATGTTGTCTGTATAGTTTTTCCATAGAATTGTTTGATTACATTATATACATTTCGTCTCTAGATGTCATTATTTGGCGCTATAAAAGTATGTGTACCAACATGGAGGTAACTAATTTTTTTCGCCTACTTCACATCAAATTGTGTGAAAGGACGGAAGTCTATTGGCAGGGGTTATATTATTAATTTTGCTAACACAGACGCTCCTCAAACTCGTAATAGAACTAAAATAAGGAAAATGGGAATAAAATGATGACTGAACCCTAACCTGGTATACACACACCATGGGAGTACCCAATATTTATTACTAGTCCAAAAATAAAAGCTCACTACGGACGTCAATTTATTTTATTTTTTAATTCAGACATTGTCAACGTGATTAAACAGGATCTGATAAAGAAAACCCTCGGTAAGGATTTTTAAATTTTACCGCTTAGTCTATATCATTGTTCTTTTCGTATTATTCAATAATGAAAGAGTCTTTCGATCAACAAAAACTATTTATTTAATTATCTGTTGCTCATATATTTTGCAATTTAAATTAGAAACGTCGTAAATATTTCATATCGAATACTTGTGGCGATATTCAAAGTATTTGTACACTTGTTTAAGCAGTGAAATTCTAGATATTCAAGATGCAAAGAGCGCATGCTAAGAATTAAATTACGCAGTTTTAAAACAAAAGGAATCTAAGAATCATGTTGATAATCTGGCATATATACAATGACTATAAAAATGATTATAACGAATTGTAATAATGTTATCATTCTGTATTTGTGCATTAGAACAGTTAGATTATTCTTTGCATTATGGCTAGTGATGTATTATGTTGTTCAGAACCTACTTGCAAAGGAAAATGGACTCAGTGGTTCAATCGAGACCATCCGTCTGGTTCAGGTGATTTTGAGGACTTACAACAAATCATCATGTGAGTCTTCTTGAGGTACTTTGATTGATTGGGCTAATTGGATGCATCGCTTATCCAAATCAAATATCCAAGTTGTCTACATTGTCATTGGGAAAAGAATTTTTTGTACTGTATTGAGCTATCAGATTTTTTTAGTTTGCAAAATTGTTCCCGGAAACATTAACTTTTTTGTCATTTCATGTTTACTCTTAGTTAGCTATGCTGCATTGTTCAACCAAATTAAAAATCTGGGCAATTGCCTAAATATTGAAATATCTATTTAGCAGGAAAGATATTCAACGCGCATCATATTTTTATTTAAAGAACGTACCGATAAAGCTAATTGAATGCATTGCTCTCTTGATTAAACTTCTATTTTCATGCTTTTTCGAGTTTCCAACTTTTGTTCGATTTTCCCTTTTTTATTTAACTTTTTAATTTCATTCAATTCTAATTCAGAGGAAGCAAAGGTGGAACATTGTATTATATATGCTCCAATCCTACTGTTGTTCACGCAAGGGCTCTGAATCCAGACCGACCATGGCAATATGCTAATGAAAATGTTCATATCTCTACACAGATAGGAATATACTGCAAAAACAGAGAACAGACGGATGGATATTGCGAAGATTACAAAGTTAGATTCTGTTGCGAGTAATGTAAATCCTCCCAACGTATATTGTTGTTTGTGAATTTAATCAGTTATTCCAAAATTTTGTTTTTTTTTTCAAAACAAGAATACAGTTAATACGTTACAATGTGATCTAAATGCTGAAGAAATGTTTTTCAAAGCAGAGTGCGAAAAAACTTTGACCGAAAACTATATACATATTTTTTTCTTTTTCAAAACGGAACTCAAACTCATTCAAATTATTACTTAAATGTAATTACGTGCAAATGTATATATTTATTTCTAAAGTTCAATGCCCTGCTTAATTTGAAGGATGTATGTTTTGTTGACACCAATATATGATCTCATTTATAAGACACCAACCATTTGGCGTTTGAGGTCCACCATCATTTTTGCTATTGTTAGAAAACCTTTATTTGTAACAAATTAACAGATAAATTTGAGTATTTGAAATCAACAATAAAAAATGGGTCGACGTATGAGATATTATAAATTCGATTACATTCGAATATTGGCTTTCGCCATCAGATGAAACGAAATTGAATAATTTGCTCGTGATTATTAACAATAAAAATACATGATTTATCTTGTTTTACATGGATTTCATCATGTGATTTATTTTGCAATAATTGAGCCGGGGCCAAATCCCGCTACGTAAAAACGAATGGTTTTTAAGATAAAAAAAAGAGAGGGTCGATGTTAACGAGTAATGTGAAATGTGTACGATCATTTTTAAAGAGATTCGAAAAAAAATTAATATTAGTTAACTTTGTTCATCTGTCAACAACAAAAAGTTAGTTACTTGTGTTTGTTCATGTGACTTAGTTGAATTGTAATATTTATATCGAATGTAATAAAATATATAGATGCATTCTGTTGGTCCTTTATTGTTATATCAAATTACCAGTAATCCTAGTTCGAGCACGTTAACCTATATCATTTTTTATATTTTGGAGTCAGATTAATATCTTGAACTATTAATAGTTAGTTGACAGAAGTTAGAAAATTTGGACGTTTAAGTGAGGATACCGACGTGATTTGAACACGCAACCTTTTAAAGGGTTGACCTTGCCAGGGCTAAAATGTCTCTGGACGAGGAATCCAACAGTAATAAATAATTTAAAAAGATTTTGCTTGATATTTTCGTCCACGACTCACGTGAAAAATTGAAAAAAAAAAAATTGGGCCAATTACAAAATAAGAGACCAGACAATATTCTTAAACAACTTTACAGATAATTATAGAACAGAAATCCAGATTTAAATGAAGAAAGTGTTTGTAGCACTATTACCTGCTCACATAGCTAACGTAGTATATTCGGTGCTTCAGAAGTATGTGTACCAATATGGAGGTAACTAATTTTGTTCGCCTACTTTACATCAAGTTCATAACTTTCATAATAAATTTGGCGAAAAAGCAGTTAAATGTAATGCTCCTTGCAGTTTTTCTGAAAGCAAGTAATATTTTACTGCATTTGGAAAGACCTAATTCTGATAAACAAGAAAGTCTAAATCATCCATAAATAACCTTTTCTTCAGCATTCAGGTTGAAAATGTTATACTCATCAAATTTTAAAGTACACAAGCAAAAGTTCTATTACTATATTACACTCCAATTTGATTTCCCATACAGTGATTTTCAACCGGTGTTCCGCGAGAGACCTCCAGGTGTTTCGCGAAAAATTGCTTTTTTGAAGTATAATGACGTCATAACTGAACATTAACCAGCCGATAAACTTATACAAATTACACAAGGCCGGATTGAGATTAAAATTTTCTGGTATACTTCCAAAAACTGAGGCCTGAGGATTGAGGTCTCCAGGAAATTTCCAATTTTTGCTAAAAAGCGCTTTTAATCTTGCTACCATAAAACTACCTATCCTTGCGAAATGATTTTTCTAAGCATGATCGACCAAGGCTGGACAAAATAATCGATTAGCGAATGGAAAATTAAAATATTCGAATGGCATTTTACTATTCGTATATCCGAAACCACGCGACATGTACCGATCTGCTTGGGCACAAAACTCGCGCGCCGGTAAATCAATCGCTTGGATTGCGCGAGAATTCACCCTCTGCTTTTGCTGTTATTTTGCAAAATAACATGCCATACTCTAGAAAGGTTTGCTAAATTTGTTTGTGTAATTTTCAGGCAATACAACAAAATTCTATACAGACGCAACTGAGCAGCTTCATGTATGGGCCGTACAAAATGAACTGAATTAAGCGTCGAACGGAAGCAATAAACTTGACGAGAGAAAATGACATTCAATTGCTTTGAAAGCAAGCTTGACTTCTATACCACAAATTATCGGAATTGACTCAGCAATACATAAAATGCAGTATTATCATTCGTTCTGCATCTATATTTGAACTAGATGAAAACAATTTTATGATTAATATAATATTATAATATAATTGATTGAGGTATATTACTGAGCACCATTCATCCTGCAGTCGCGGCCTATATTGACCTGTCTCTTTTCAAGCATCAGACATTGCCGAAAAGTAGTCTTTTTCAGTATCCTAACCTTCAAGAAAGGCGTAATTATTCGACTTCGTTTAACAAAGACGTTTCTTCGTCCACATCTAGACTTTTATCGGGGGTTGTATCATTCATTTGAGTCGATGTTTTCACAGGGATGAGTTTTTTATATGTGAAACACAATACAATCAGTGACACAAGCAATAAAAAAAGTACTACGCCACTTAGAATAGGCAAACGTTCAATAGTTACCATTGAGGTTGACAACAGTGGGCCAACGATCCTACCAGCGCCAGCAAACATTAATAATGCTCCCTGATTGAAACTTTGTGTTTCGATGGAAGTTATCTTCGAATAAAGTGAAATTATGGAAATATTCATAAGCGGAAATGATATTGTCAAAATAATCCAATCAGTCCAAAATACTGGCAAAAGCCATTTAACGTGGCTAACGGCTTCTTGAAGAAATAAGACGGTAGAGTAGATGTTGAGGATAAGATAAGAAACTATTGCGCCTAAACAACCAATCAGCAAAATGACCCTGTCGGTGACTTTTCGGTTAGCAGTACCAATTACAGCATATGATATACAAACTGTAATAGCACCAGCGCAAAACATAATACTATTGCTAACTCCTCCCCAGCCGAAAAAGAGCAAACTCATTGGTGTTGTTGCTGATTCGAAACATGTGACGGTCATCCATGCGTTAAAGTTTAGCAAAAGGCAAACAAAAACTTCTTTTCGAAAAAATTCGCCCTGAAAACTTTTTGGGGGTTGATTTGCCGACGTCATAGTTTTAAGAACAACAGTTTTCTGCAAATTGTCTCCATGCTCCTGTACGGGGTCATTAATGTTTATTTTTCCATTCGAATAGTCTTCAGAAACATCCCTGAATAGGGCTAACACAAACAATGTGTGTAATACCCACATGATGGCCAGAAGAAGTCCAGGAGAGCTAAATTGATCCACAGGAAAGGGCCGAGTTTGAAATTTATTTGACTCGATATCAAATTGAAACCAGGCCCAATAATGACACCTATTTCCCGCATGAATACGACTAACGTTATTACTGCGGTTCTCTGTTTTGTCGTTGTCGTCTTTGCAATCATGCCGAGGTACGACGAGCTGGCTCCAGTTCCAAGTCCAGCTATAAGTCTTGCACACAATAATATCCGATAATCTCTGCCTACAAAGTAGAGAAAATTCCCCACAATCCCAAATAAACAGCTAACAATGGCGCACAATTTATCCGCGTTAGTTTTATCAGCTATTCGTCCATATATTGGTGACGATATTAGTCCAGCAAAACTAAAAGCAGAGATAGTAGTTCCAAAAATAGCAGTAGGTCCATCCAAGTATATAATATATTCATTTAATGTCGGTAGAATGACAGCAAATTCAACTCCGGCTAAAAAGAAATAGAAACCAGCACAAAATAACCTCCCGCAACTTTTCAATGTACAGATCATGTTATCCTTATTTTTAAGTTTATTCTGTAAAATATACAAAATTGCCATAATTCACCAGGTAAAACATTCGCGTAAACATAAAAATCGTTTTATTATGGAAATTAATGATATTTGCCATATATGCGCCGTGGGAACCGCTGGTCGGTTACGGCTCCCTCCACCATAAAGTCCATGCGTCCGAAAACAAATGACTGGCTTGCCCATACTCTATATGCACTGGTAACCGGATCAGAGGCCGCGGTTTGCCACATGATTAAGTCGTATCACCTTCCCTCTGCCCCGGTATAAATATTTAAAACCCGTCCTAAGCTAAGAAACATGAACTACCACATCGTTATGGCGGTATTTGAATTGTTGATCTCGCTTTACACTAGTTACATACTCGTGTTGATTGACAAACGGAAACGAACACTTGTTTTTGTTATGTTTTATCGCATTTATACCTTCGGTCTTTCGCGCCATTGATCAAGATTCAGATTCAGATTCAGATAATTTATTTTCGTCGTGCAAGAAACATTATGAACAACACAAGCATAGTAAATCAAGGCAAAAGAAAACAACAGACACATAATGTTTCGACTGCAATTAACGAGGAGCCGCGAAAGACTATCAAGTCATCGTGTCAGCGACACCATTAAAGCTGAATGACGTCAAAAAAACGTCAAATGATTAAGGTTGAGTTATATATGATCAGGGCAAAAATTTGGAAAACGTAAATCGAATCGAGAGAGTAAGCCAAATGAGAAAAGTTTAAATAAAAAGTATGAATGGAATCAAGAGAGTCGGGGAAGAAATGATTAATCTAGAATTAAGTTAGCTCAGGGGAAATTTAGAAAACGTAAATCGAATCGAGAGAGCAAGTCAAAAGAGAATGGTTTAAAAAGAAATGTGAAGGGAATCGAGAGAGAAATGTTTAAATGGGAACAAATATCCATCGTGTCGAGTAAAAGTCAGAAAAAACGCGTTTACGATAAATCAGTATGTCAGTCTCGCAGCGTCATGCTCGGGTGATCGCAATCACAATATGAAATTGTTGACTGGCAGGACGCTGCAGAAACTTAGCAACTGAAGGGGAATTCCCAGCAACCATAACAGGGGAAGCCGGGTTGGATTAAGTATCGGTACTGATACGGCAATATATAAATAAATAAATATATAAGTACAATTCAGACAGGAAAAACAGTTTTGATGGGAAAAGTTCATTCCACATGTACTTTGGGCAATGATGCAAACTCAGTGATAATGGTCGTGCTCTGTGAGGACAATAAAGAAAAATGGTGACAATGCCAATGGCATTAAGAGGTGAAAAAAGTCACGATCGTTTAGGTAAAATAGAGATCCTGGACCGAATGACCAGTTATAGAAAAATCGAGCCACACAAAAGGTGGGGGACATGGGTTGTATATGGTACACTACTATACTTATAAGGGATCTATACCACTTATTGAAGCAGACTAAAAGGATACATAGGAATCCAGGTAAAAATTTTTCAAAGCTTGTTTGAATGAATTGTAATTCATAATTCGAATGTTATCGGATACAGCATTCCATAATTTAACGCCTGTATATTTTATTGAATTTTGAGTACGTTTGGTTGAAAAATGAGTTACATAATAGGAACTACTGGCAGAGGATCGTGTTCTATAAGAATGCACGCTGCTTTGTTTCAAGAAATAATCAGTGAATGTAACAGGGAGTTTTTTGTTGTGATGTTGGTGCATCAATTTCAATATCTCTAATTTATAAATATCCACCATTTTAATAATACGAAGTTTATAATAGATTGGATCAAGTTGGGCATAAGGTCCACTGCCAGAGACAGCACGAATGGCCCTATTCTGCATTATTTCAATTTTGCGTAAAAGAGTTTTATCAGCGGAGCCCCATGCAGAAATACCGTATTGAATATGGGCTTGGAATAACGAGTGGTAAACCATACGTAAAGTTGAAATTGGTATAAAATGCCTGAGTTTGTACAGTATTCCCACCGACTTAGATAACTTAGCAATTCAAAATTCAAATTAAAAATCAAATTCAATTCAAATTAAAAATCCAATACTAACATAACATACAACATTTACAAAGTAATATTTATACAATTAAATCGACTACAATAAGTAACTAACGCTTAGCATTTCTACCTGTAGACAAAACAAGTTCAATACCAGTTCCAGTAATGTTCATGTTACTGTAGCGTTCATGTTAACCGTACTGTACCGTTAGGCAGTCTATGAGAGAAAGTTTTAATATAGAAATTATTAATATCCCCTCAGGATATACTCCATTTAATTTCTATATGAGTGCTGCAAAAACGATATGCCACATCCCAATGTCTATCTATTTATATACAGCATCTAATCCGAAATTGTGTATATATGAGATGAGGTAAGCCATACGTCCCGCTTTAGGCGGGACAGTCCCGCTTTTTAGCGTCTTGTCCCGCCGTCCCGACAAGTCAGCCAAAAGTCCCGCTTTGGCGTTCAGCCGTCCAGCATAGTACACGAACATTACCAATTAACATGTTCTCGTTACTGCTCTTTACTGTTGTTGCTGTGTAGCGCAGCGCTAGCCTACTTGATGAAAGTGAATGCGTTATTTTGTTTGTTTCGCTGTTTCCCGCTAACATTGTTAGCGAGCGTATCACATGTATTGCTGATTGATTAAGGTAGCGCCTGAGCCTTGCCCCAACAGCTGGAAAAAATCAAAGCAACAAAAGAAAAACAAAGGAAGATGAGCTACTCAGCAGCTGTGTCATCGACTCCTGCCAGAGAAGAACCCACCGTAGAGACAAGAAACGCAAGCCCAAGATCACTGTTTCTGAAAACTGAACTGGACCTCGACTTTCCTGGACTAATGGAGATTCTTCGAAACAACAATAACACTACTGAATACGTCAAGAACATTAAAGGATTATACGACCGCCACCCTGAACCAATCGAGATATCTGAATTCTCTTCGTCTGAGATGGAATCAACATCAAGCCCACAGCTGAGGGAACTAAAGGATTATACGACCGCCACCCTGAACCAATCGAGATATCTGAATTCTCTTCGTCTGAGATGGAATCAACATCAAGCCCACAGCTGAGGGAACTGTTGGTCGGCATGCGAAGAGGTTGATGACGTCATAAGCCCTATATGTACGCCAACATCCCAGCCAAAAGCAGCTAACACCAGACAGCCTGCAAGACTAAAAAAGAGCTCGATCATCGGAAATACGCCATTTCATCCGCCACCGGAGGGTCGAGCTTACGGAAAGGTGAGGGTGCATAATCTAGAAAAACAGGATTCAACAGCATCTACATTCAGCGCCTTTCCACAAGAGGTGTTGTCAG